ACACCTCTGGTTTGAGCTGGAGTTTTTTCACTTGTGTCACATCTTGCTTGACATCTGGAGCTATTCAGACTTACTGAAGAATAAAGTGCAATGAAAAAAGAGAAAAAAGAAAAAAGTGCAATGAAGCAATAGGTCAGATTTGCAACTAAAGAGTGGTCACAGCCCTATAAAGTAAAAGGCTGTAGACTATTTTATTGTGTGGGTGAGGGTCTAATCTGGGTTTCCTCATCTCTGATGTTAGATGTCTATGGTGTGGGCTCATCTCAGCCAGTCCTCTACACTGCTTTTGCAATTAATGGAAAGAAATGGAGATTTCCAGTGTGTGATTCATCTTTCTTATTTTAGACATCTACTCTATAGTGAGATGAATCACACCCCTAAAGAGCCTGTCTGCCTCATCTGTCCTGTCAAATAACAGCTTTCCAGCTGACCGTGGGAGTGTGGTCCCAGGTTGTCCTTGCAATGTGTGTTCTTTCACTCCTGGCTCTCCCCTGTAGTCAACCAGCTAATTGCCTCCAAGAATGTGGGAGTACTTCGGGGATCATTCGCTGCTGCAAGAGCTACACTGCTGTTAGAATGTGGAGCAGTGTACCAGGTTTGGCTGCCCTCACCTTCAGTTGCCCTCCCACACGTCTCAGCAGGCTTTGCTTTGCTGGATACGTATCTCCTGCAAATGCTGACACGTGCCGTACAGCCAGCATGCACTGCTGGGTTGCTGCACAGAGCTTTCACTGCGCCAGGAACACTTGTATTGAAAACACCAAAACCCTTGGAGTTGTACGTTCAGGCATACATACTCAGAGAGAGCCTGCAGAAGATGCCTCAACCCAGTCAGTCATGTATAGAGGCAGTCTTCTGTAGCTTTCAGGAATGTGATCCACTAAATATGTGTTTGCTTTGTAACTACCTGACACTTTGCAATTTGAATCCTTGCTTCTTAAGAGAATTAAAAGCCTGCAAAATTTCACCCGGGAGCAAAAATTGTTCAGCTGTATCCTTCCAAAAGGGGCAAGCATAGTGACTTGCAAGGTAAAGCCAGAACAGCTAGAGATGTACGGAAATGTATGTCATTTGTTTCCATGGCTAGCAAAACATTTATGATTATTGATAGAGTTTATTGCCACGAGTGCTTTTCATTCATATTTGGTTCTGCCTCAGATTTAAAAAAAAAATGTCACTGCTGTCTAGTCAGGGGGTTTTGTATTTTTCTCTCATTTAAGACAGCAGCATATGTATTGACAAGTCTTTTCTTTCTTCATTGAAAGCACCGGACTTGTTGGCAGGGCACTGGGATTCCAAACTTTTTGTTTATAAACGTGGCTGGTATTTTAACGGACTGCTAAACAGGAAGGAATCTTAAACAAGGGAAAAATGAGTTACTGCCCTTAAAATAACAATAATAAAAGCAAGATAAATTCCTGACCAATTCCCTTTCAAATTCAAGCAGAAGGGAAGGAAAAGAGTGGACTGTTTGAAATTCTGGACTGAAACTGTGCAACTGATCTGGGAAAAAATTCGTTATTTACATTGCTCTGTTCAAGTTAATGCTAGAAAAGCAAGAAATTTTGTCAGCCTACAGTTCTACACGTGGAAGTTAGTGGTCCCTTTGCACATGCTGATTTAAACTTTCCATCGTAATTTGAAATTAGTTTAGGACCAGTGATACTGTTACATGTGGTACAGGTCATTGAGGGATTATCAGATGAATGCTTCAATGGCTGATAGGGGAGAAAAGTACGGAAATAAATGGTCTGCAGGGAGAAGTCACCACTGATTTTGGCCAGGTTGGTCAAAAGGAAATATCAGTCCATATGTGTGAAATAAGTGGAAAAAGAAATCAGACCTTCAAATGGATCTTTAGCTTTCTTAAGAAAGCACTGGCATTGACTTAATGTTATTATCTCTTCTCATGAAAATGTAAGCATCAATCTGGGTAAAATCTTTTAGATACCCATTATACAGAAGAGAATGAGAAGGTTGGTGTCCCATATTGCTTGTGGTAAAGTCTGAAGACTGATTTTTTTATTGCAGTGCTAACTTCAGGTAATGTGCTTACAAGTGAACGTATGTATAGAGAAGCTTCAGGATATTTAGGAGGATATTTTTAAGTGGTATTGTAACTTTTCAGGAATAAACCTGTTCTTCCCAAAGCGGCTGGTTCAAAGGGGTCAAGTACCTTTTGTTTGTGGAGTTCAAGGGAGCAAATGCTGTGGAAGAGGCTGAAAATTCAACGAGGGTTACAGATGAAACAGGGCACAGCAGCTTCAGGAGGGCATTTGGTCAGCCCTGGGCATGGCCGTACTGCGTTGTCAGTGTCAGCAGGTCCCCCTGCAGGAGACCAGTTTCAAGAAGTGTGCTCTGTTTTCATTCCCGTCCACCTTTCCAGATCTTATTGTAACGTAATGAATGAACTGCTTGGTGTGGGTGTTCAGCAGGTGTCAGAGCAGATCTCTCAGATGTATTCATTAACAAATGGAAATGGGCTTCTTCATTGCAAGAAGCCAGGGACCACGGGGGCATTTCGAAACTATTCCAAAGCATTGCCGTGAATTGGGAACTCTGTTTTAATAAGTCACAGAAGTAGCATTTGTATGATGTTCCTAACTGTAAAGAGGTTGATTTTTTTTAATTTTTTTTTTTTTTTTTTTTTTTTGGTGTGTGTGTGTGTGTGTGTAACTGACTTAGTAAGCCACTGGGCTTTTTATCTCCCTTTTTGTGTGTTTGTTGATAAGTTTTGGAGGTCTACCATTGGGAAGGCAGTTTGTCATCTTTAAAATTTTAAGCAGCTGAGAGTAAGCCATGGTGCTTCTCTGATACTGCACTCATTGGAAAAAGAACCTCACTCGTGATTAATTAAAAGGCTTTTTTTTTTTTTTTTCCTTCTCACACTGGCTGCCCTGTATTTCTGCTACCTAATGAGGTACTTCTCATACAGATAGATTGTGGAACAACTGGGCTCAGATGTTTAGGTGTCTGGGGTTTCTTCTGCTTGAAAATGATTGTCAGCCTTCATTTTCTTTTCAGCTTTCGAGCCTGTTGAAACAGCAGCATTTCTGTCATTCAAACGTTATTCAGCCGTGTGCGCTGTGACTCATTCTGAAAGATTACACACTTCTGCTTCCCAAGTGTGCACCTATCCTCCTGCTGTGCTAGTTGCTTGCAGGCTGCTGTCTGAAAGCAGTGTCTCAGGGTACATGTTGCTGCAGAGCTTTTTGGCATTTGGCATGGTGCTGTGCAGGATGTAGGAGCCCCCGGCTATTGCAGGCAGCAGGCTTCAGGGTGGGAGATGCTATTTCTGTCTATTTCTGGAAAAAAAAATATTATTAAATATCCTTTTCAACATCTCTTTACAGCAAAACATAACAATACAAAAAATAAAGAGCTCACCCTGAAGGAACAATAAACCTCAGACAGACCTCCTGGCTGCCATTCGCTTCAGCCTGTTTACTTAGGCTGAAAAAATACCAGTTTATAGTATCGGCTCAAGGCAAACTCCATCTGGTCTGATGGTCCTCTTTTATCATTTCTCTTTTCTGGGTTTGCCTTCTCTTTTTCTGTGTTCCTCCCTGGTATCTGAAGGTCCTTTCTGTCATCACCCAGGCTCACGGTTCCCAATAGGTCTGACTGCTGCCTTCCTTCCGTGCTGCCTACCAGCCCTCTGGTCTTGGGCTGAGCTCCTCACTTCTGCCATTTGACTCCATTCAGGCCAGTGATTTGTTATTTCCTTTCTTTTTTCAGAGCTTCTTTGGAAATAAGGTCCCATGGGAACCCTCTTTTTTTTTTTCTTTTTCTTTTTTTCCTCAGAATCATAGAAGGGCTAAGGTTAAAAGGGCCCTCTGGGTCCATCTGGTCATCCCCTGCTCAGGTAGAGACACTACTACGTCCAGGTGGCTTAGCTTGTAGTTTATTGAATGTTAGAATAAATTTTATGGGGGAAAAAAAAGCACCCATCCTGTTCATTAAGGAAGCTCAGTTAATCATAACTGATTAAAGGAAAGCTTGACACTACCTGCCTAGCCATAGCAGTGAGCTATCATACCCAAGGATGAAGAATTGTGAGAAATCAATCTTAATGCATTACAACTTAATACTGCACTTGTATTTCTGTCTACATGAGGGCAAAAGGTAACATGTCTGAACTGCCTAGCACAACAAAAGCAGGCAGAATATGGAGAAGATACTGTAGATGGGTGTGAGAGCCCTATTGCTGTAAGAGCACATCCCTGGAAGACCTTTTCTGTTCCACTTTGAGAGGGAGGTGTTGTTTCATAAAGTGACAAAGTACCCAAGGTTCAGAGCTGATGGGTCTCATGGGGTGTACTGAGACCATCTACTACAACTAGTTCTTGTTATGAAAACAAGGAGTTGTAGGGCTAAAGGGATCCACACTGGCATTTTTCTGGGAAAACAAAGAATTCTGGTGTACCTCGTCAGTCAAGTGTGGGGTACGAAGAGATCTTTTCTCAAAAAATGTGAGAAGCTTTCTTTTTGTAAGAGTCTAGATTTTGAAAAAGGAAAGAGATTGGTGAGCTTTCTTTTGGTGATTACCGTTATGGTACAAACCTTGCTTTCAGCGGACAGAGAGAGGAGATAGATGCAAAATACAAGGGAGAAATTTCACTCTTTTTAGATGTCCCATTAGAGGATTTAGATACTCAGAGTTTTTTTTCCCGTGTTCGTTTATATAAACCAGTACTTACCTGGGTGTCCAGAATTGTGCCAACACTTGTGTTTTGATAAAGAGCTGGTTTTTTTCTGAATTAACTACATCTGCTTTTGATTGTGATAAATCATGCTTGGGTGCTCTTTCACAGTAGTTCATATGCTGCTTTATTCAGGGATAACTTTCGAGCGCAGACAAGCCCCTAGGAAACTTTTTATTTGAAATGGAATCTCCTTAATTTGTTAGCTCTTGCATATTATGCTTGTACTAAGAAATTAATACAGTTCCTTTAAGGTATTTGTTTTAATTTATTTATGTATTTATTTTTGCTTTGCAGACTGCAAGGTGGCACATTGAACTGCAGCCATGGGCAAGTCCAACTCCTTCCTTGAACTATGAAGCTTTGAGGTTCCTGAAGTACATTAGCACTTCTCAAGTAGGTTTTTATTTCAGTTCTGTCTGATACAGTCTGTTCCTTCACAGATAAGAAATTAAACTCACATCAAACTCTTTTTGCACTCGTTTTTGAATATGAAATTTATTTCTATAGTTGTTCAGCTTCACACTGATGGTCAACATGAATGTAGAGGTCAAAATAGAGGATAGAAAGTGTCCATATGAGTTCTTTGTAGAAACATCACTTCTGCACAACGACATGTATGATACGTGAATTTATTTCCTAAAATAAAAGCAGAAAAAGTACTGGAAGGCCACATTTCTCACAGAGTGGTTGCTTTAGATATTCAGCAATGAGCCCTTGAATGCAGATTTAACCACACCATCATTTACGCTGAAGAGCAGCAAAAAACCTCAGGTCACTGAAATGTCATTCATAAGAGAATTTCTTTGTCAGTGTAATGCTTTCAAAGCTGTGACAGTAAATGCACCTGAAACATCTGAAAATATTCTGCTCCACCCACAGTTAGTACCTAAGAGGGTAGCAGAGAAATGTCTTACCCTCCAGCTTATGATACCCCTGGCAAAATGGTCAGAAACATGAAGAGGACATCTCTGCCCGGCACTGAGAGGACCAGGGACAAGAAAACACAGCAAGAGGCCTGCGTAGAGCTGCTTGGTTTACAGTGCAGTTCAGGCTGAGGAGGCATATTAAGCTGAAAACAGCCCTCATCCCATTGACTTAATAAACAGTGGCAGATGCTGCTAAATTCCACTAGTTGGGGCAAAACCTACAAGGACTTCAGTTAGCAGAGAATTTATTGATTCTGACACAGTAATCAAGAACTTTCATTCCCAGAAGAACTGACCCTTGGGACAAGTGTAAGTGAAAACAAAAAAAATAAAAAATAAAGAAATGCATGTTTCTGACCTGGCAGATGTTGCAGGATTAACAGCTGAAGGGGTAGCACCATGGCTGATAGGAACGTTTCTGGAAATGCGATCCCACTGGCATAGATGAGCAGAGGCACTTGTTATCTTTGCTTGCTTTTCAAGTGTCAGCTAATTACTCTGCTGAAGTTCAGGTTCTTGCCATAGCACAGAGCAGCTGACATCGGAAGATGCCATGTCATCAAGTCAAGGTGTGACCTCAGGAAGCATTTTCTTGCCAGTATCTGGTGACCAGACAAACCACCTTACATGTGCTGTTATTTGTGTGGTAGTTGTGAGTGGGAGCCGAGAACAGGACACAGCTCCGTGCTGCAGCATCTGTAAATCACACAACAGATGGGTGATGGTCCTAAAGATAGGGTTCAGGTCCTTTGATTTTAGTTTTCATTTTAATGTCAAGAGCTGTTAAAATTACTCTAAGTACTGAGTGCTGAAATTGCTCATGAGTCAATTAAATAGCAGCATTGCAGGATCTTTCATTTTTCCATAGAGAGCACATCATTCTTCCATGTCTTGAAATTAATGCTTGTTGTCACAGTGCTGTTTATTCTTCAGTTGTTATGTGGCTGAAGGGAAATGAGTAGTGGGGCGCAGTGCAAATCATCACTTAAAATTTAGTAAATCCTGAGAGCAGCATGAATAGGTGCTTTATTAGCTTTTATGAATTTTCCATGAGAGTTAGGAGCTAAGCTGGACTAGGCAGGCGATGATGCAGCTTGCAGTTCTGTGAATGTAATGCTCCAGATAATGATATGTCAGAGCTTAAGCATCTTTAAAAAATCAGAGCTTTATTTACTTATTATGAAGCACATGGTGGAGATTGCCTACCATAGCAAAGGCTGGATTTCAGCTGTTGTTCTTACCCCTGCTCTTGTCTCTGCTGTCATAATTTCCAATTTTTGTTTGTTTGTTTTTGTTTGGCTGTCTGACAGTGCTACCTCCCATCACTGCAGGCACAGTTAGTGCTGGGTTCAGAGAACAATTTCTGTGAGTCGTGATGGCTTGGCTAGGCTCCTGCAGGCTCAGTATCCCTTTTCCTTTTGCAGTACTTTAATTCTAACTTGAGACTCTTGAAACATAAGCCAGCAGAGTGCAGAAACATGTTATGACTCCTCAGTTTAGTTAAGCACTTGCTAAAATCCCTTTGTTATTGGATAGGGGCTGTTGCAGGGTCATGCTTAAATGTTTTTGGGAGATCCAGGACCCTGCAGGTGAGGTGTACAGCATACATTGCAGTGACACTGCAGTCTGTGATTGCAGTGTTGAATTGTGCCAGGATTTCAACGTGATTCAGAATGCAGAACCTGCAAAACAGTTTGAAAGGGAAAAAAAAATAAACACTTTAATGCGGTGATAATGTCTTGTCAGGAAAACTGATTTCAGGGCATCATACTAATGCTTAATTATTTGCTTTTTAAACTGCGTTGTTCTTTGGGGGATTATGTAAGCCTTGAATTTCACCAAGCAGAACAGACAAACAAGGAAAAAAAGTGTTTGAGTTTCCATAGCTGTGCATCAGATTGACAGGCAGATTTAAACAAAACTTCTCTCCACTCTTTACCCAGAAGGCAAATTAAAAAATTAAAGGGTAAGCCTTAAGATGAAACATTCTTTGATTTCAACAGATTTCATGTGAGCACATGAACCTGAGCAGCCTGAGGGGCAACTCTGAAGCCATGAAGAGGCCCTGGTCAGTCTGCCTTGATGAGAGGTTTAGCCTCATCCACCGGCTCAGAAACAAGCAGTGCCGTCTCTATTCCCTGGGGTAAGTGCTCCATTTAACAGGCAGCAGATCTTTCCGTGATGCATTCTAGCATCAAAAAGCTTTATAAATGCAGCACCGGTTGCAGCAAAGCTGTGTGTTAAAATACTGGCTTTGTTCGGGTGTGTTTATTGTGTGCTGATGTGCTTCTGTAAAGTCTGTTTAGGGAGAAACCTTTCTCCAGGAGGGTCTTCATTTTCCTTCACTTTTCTGTCTGTGCTGCACAGTACGAAACCAAATTGCCTGATGGCGAGTAGCAAGTGGTAGTTCCAGCAGAAGAAGATGGAAATTAGTGAGATAAACTGAGAAGCATACAGCGTCTTTCCTGAGCAGAATTGACTTGCATAATTGCCAGGTACTTCAGCAGCATTACTTAGGAAACTTCATTAACTACCCCTGGGATGAAACTGTACATTTCCATATGAGAGTGTGTTTGCTGAGCGCTTCAGGGGTGATGTGTGCCAAAGTGATAATAATGAAAGCAGTTGTTGGCTTTATTTTAAAATGTTTCTGGTGTGGACGTTGTTTACAGCACCTGAGATTGAAGTCATCGCTCTTGGCAGAACTGCAGCCTATTTCCCTGCCGTTAATACCTCTGCCTCCTGGAAGGATGAGGGAGTTGGTCAGGCCTCTGGCACTTTGCATTGTGCTCAGGTGCACCAGGAGGGCAATCAGCAGGATCTGTGGCCACAGTACTGCTGCCCCACACAACTTTGCTGTCCTGTGAGCCAGCTTTAGTTTGGGGAGTGCTGGAAGACTTAATTTCTGTTGAGCCAGCACAGGCTGTTTATACTGAGCTATGAGAGTCGGTGTGTTAGAGAGTGTGGAGCTCTCAGCTCTTGTTCAGCCATACCTGTTGAATACTGCTACAGCAGATAACAGTGCCACACCCCTTAGGTTGAATCCTGTCTACAGAGAGCAAACTCCTCTTGAGGAATTACTTTCTGAGTGTTTTTTATAATCCATTTCAAATAATGCTTCCTTGGTTTTAATGCAAAATATAGGTTTACATGAGGTGTTTGGTTTTTTTTCCTCAGTTTTTCCCATTGCTGTGAAAATTTGGGGAGATCCTGTGTTATCTCACACTTAGGTCCAGATTATACCTGCTCAGCTGCAGTACTGGCACATTGCTTCAGGCTCCTTTCAGTTTTGTGCAGGGAGAGGTGCATTTGGTTGGAAAATCAGGTAAGCTGAGCAACCTTCTGGAGGCAGCTGTAGCTTTCCTTTGAATATAGAGGAAGTCTAATGTGACTGCTGACTTTTAATGTCTTGGCAAAGTACCCGTTGTTCAGTGGAATTAACTTGAAGGGTAACATCTATATTACATGCTCATTAATATTGGACCTGAGCTCTGGTGCTAAAGTGCCTTTCTTGATATTTAGCCAGACACAAAGCAGAGTTGATTTAATCCGTTCTGGAAAATGTAGGTTTGACAGAAAGCTGACCAGCAATAAGATAACTTGCTGATGGTTGTGAACAAACCTGAGCTAATGAGTGTATTCCAGTATTTCACGTGGAGCTGCTCTTGATACTGTACAGGGAGCCCCAGTGCCAGGCTTTTGTAGCAATGGCGCATTAGGCTTAGCAGAGATTGAAACTGATGCTGCCTCTCCCATAAATCATCAGGTACACACGTGCAGTAAATAACCAGCTGTGATGTCTCTCGTGAAGCAGCTAAAAAGTAAAGAAGAAATATTTGGGCTTAAGGAGGAGCAGTTTTTCAACCTTCAAATTCTCTCTGCAGCTTTTGGAGCTTGTTACTGCATGAGTCTTCTGTCAGACTCGCTTCCTTTAGCTTTATGACAGGCAGAAAAATTATTTTGTTCTGAGCAAGACAAAAATCCCCTTTAAATATTTTTGTTATCTCATACACTTCATAAAGAGCAAATGGGGAGCAGCTGCTCTTGACAAAGAACTTGTTAGCAGAAGGAATGGATGGAGGACAAATGTGAAAGTTCAGCGTGAGTGTGATTGGGAATCCTGAATTAAATCCATAAATCATTAGAAATTGAAGAAAACTTGCTGCCTAGTTGTTGCCTTTATGTATGCAGTAGAGAAGCTTGCTTGTGAATGGGAGTGAGAGCGTCTGTAATTTCTAGAGGTTTTTTTCAGATGAGCATTAGTGGCTTCCACTACTGGAAGGCAGCAGTGTTTGTGCTTGGGGGCACAATTTCCTGGTGTGATATGTAATTGCAGCGTGCATTAGTCAGCTGTAGTTATTAGTGCTAAATCTGCTTAGATTAAGCAGTCTGTTACAAACACAACAGGCAGGCACTGGAGCTGCCTGATATAAATGAGTAGGATATCAGAAACGTAACCGTTGAGGTTTAAAGAGTCTTACTGCAGTGCCACTTGAAACCTGTTTTAAGAGGCTTTTAATGTGTAGGGGCTTTAGAATCCAGGCAGGGGATGCTTCTTTTTATTATGAGCTGCAGAACTTGGTTATCTGTCTGTCTTTGAAGGAAAGAAAAAAAGAGAGAAAACAGTAAGACCAGAAAGGGAAAGCTGGACCCTAATGTAGATGCTCTTACACCCCTGTCCTGTGGTCCCTTTCGGACCTGGAGTACCCCGTGGGAACTGGCTGTGGGAACACAAGCGTGCTCCTCTTGTGTGGGGCCCATCTGCAGAATGCATTTTCTGATGCTTTTAAAGCTCACCTTCACCCCTGCTTCAAGGTCAGTCTGCAGTCCTTGTCTCTGGAGATGAGTTTTGTCTTCTGTTTTGCAGGAAAAACAGGTTCGTGTCCCTAGCGTTTTTGATTTATGTTACTGGAGAGAGCAGCTGGTCCCTCCTGATGGCCTCTCTGTTCTTCTGTGACATTTCTTAAGGTCGTCGTCTTTTATTTATTTATCTTTTTCAAGTAACACAAAGTTTTCCTTAGGAAGCCTCATTTGTTTACTTCTCCCGTGCTGTGTTCTCACTTGGTGAGATAACACACGAGCCTTGCATTTTTCAAATCTTCTGGAGATGACTGACCTTATTTTGTCTTATAAACATTTGTGATTGATTAGATCTCTCTTCAGGCATAAATTTGATCTGTTGCCAGAGTGTCAGATGATATACCAGCACTTTCTTCACCCTCAACTATTATTTGTTCTGTTTTGCACCATTTTGCAGTCCACATGTGAATAACAATCTGCTCAAAGGCAGCCTGAGGTCTGCCTGCATCGGAAGCATCTGGCCCTCTGGATTGCACCAGCTGCAACTGTTAGAAGTGTGTCACGGATGCATGTGTCCATGGGTTGGTGCTAGGCTCATCGCTCTAATGCTGTATTTGTCCCAGACAATTTGCATTTTGTTCATTTGAAGCCAGCTTTTCATTCCAAAGGGATTACACTGGTCTTCATTCATCTGTGTCCCTTCTGTAGAATGCTGTATGCAAACAAACGTGCCAATTCACTTGGTTAACTTTGGAACTTTTTTCCTGTTGTATTTTGAATGTATTAGAAGAAAACTGTTCTCTTTCTCTCCTACACATCTGCATAGGCCGGAATCATGTGAAATACGATTGTTCTTGAAGTATGTTGTGCTGTTCTTGCAGTCTTTATATCCTTCGGCTTGCCCAGGACTCCTAGGGAGAAAATAGTTCAATGGAGAAGCTTTTGGGGCAGTGTTGTTGGTCAGTGTTAAAGCAGATGTGATGCCAGATTAGTAACTTCCAAATCATATCCGCTTTGCAACTTTGTTTCAGGAGTTGAATTCATTTTAGTTTAGCAAAATACCGTCTATGCAAAACATTTAGTGCTGGCTTAATGTCATATCCTAGCATAGCGTGATGTAAAATTTATCACATTCCATATATTGGTGCAATTAGCCAGAATTATTTCAGATTCAAATAATTTTTAAGATAAATGCTTAAGTATAATTGTGGTGTTGTCTAGCAGATCACAGAGGCAGCACATTGGAAAAATACTGCCCTGCAGTGGTTTGTTTCTGGTAGATAAAGGCCATGCTATTACTACGGAGTGGATATTCTCAATTAGTACAACTGGTTGAAGCACTGATTAAAAAACTTGATTACCTCTCCTGTGCTACCTGTTTGTGTTTCCAACAGCACGATTTTGATTAAGTTTAAGGTTTAGCACATAATTTCAACCATGCTTGGTACAAACCTGTATGGGCAGCAGTGAGGAGGACATCATATTTCAGACAGTGGGGAGTGCCTGCAGGCCAGATATCTGATTGCAGCAGTAGTGATTTCTTGAATCCTATGTGAATCATTTTGCAGTAGGAGGTGGGAATATGGAATAGCCTCATAAAGCACATATTTTCCTTGCAGAGACAGGGAGGGGTGCAGTGACACATATTTTTTCTGTACAGGGGGGTTGCTTGCATTTCTTCTTCTTTGGGGATCTTTGTGAAATTAGCATTAATCTTTCTTTGAGTGTAAAAACACTTCTGCTGTTGGGAAGGAAGTAGTTTTAAATTTACGTTTTGATTTTCCTGTGCAAGGAGAAAGAAAGAAATTTGGTTCTTGTGTCCTGTCCCAGTTGTTGGCCATTATGGCACATAGTTGTATAGGCATAGCAGAAAATATATCTGATTTTTTTACAAAATGGTGCTGTATACATTTTGATTACTATTATTATATATATATATATATTCACTATTCCATTTCTATTCCTTTAAATTTCCTTTATCTAAGTACTTGTTCCAAATCTTCAGCATACATCATTGCAGTCTGTCAGCTTTATTTCTGATGATCACATCAGAATTAGGGTTAAATTGTGCTCAGTGCCATGGATAAATCTGGAGAAGCAACACAACAGTTCCCCACTTTGCTTCAGTAACTAACAAGCTGAATTTTCCCTTCTTGCATGCTCATGAGCCCTCAGGATGTTCTACTCACTAGTAGGTCTTTTTGCAGCATTAATGATTGCATCTTTTTTGTTTTGTAGACTGGGCAGTGACGACAACCAGTTTGAGATCAGCATGGCTAACAGTGGATGCGAGGTGCATCGCTTCGACCCCAGCATAAGGTCAGCACACATCCAGGAAGGTCAGCACCTCTGGTATCATCGCCTGTCCGTTGATTGGAGGGATCCCAACCCAGCCATTGCTGCACACAAACTTCACAGCAACACAAAGAAGCTGGGCACGATATTGAATGAATTTGGACATCAGAAGGTAAGGACTCGGGTGGTACACTTCTGACTGTTGTGAAAGCTGCAGAGTTTTGTTCTGGAGCACGGGGTTGGACCAGATGGCCTGCAGAGGTCCCTTCCAACTTCAGCCTTCCTGTGATCCTGTGATTCTTGTTCTCTCAGGAGCTCAGGTGCTTTCCCAAGTGATCTCCTGACAATAGATTTTCTTGAGAAATACTTGCAGTGCATTTCTTTCTGGAGTGTCTTTTCTGTCTTGCTTTTTTCCTAACTCTGGTAACAGCCACTCTGTTTTTAAATTGCAAGCTGTATGTTTAATACTTTCCTTCTCCTCCCTTGCTTTTCTATTCAGCTGGCTGGTGACACTGAGTGTTCATTTTTCCAGTCCTGTGGAAGTTCTGGTTGTTGCCTGAGTAAGAGTTCTAAAATACTCATGCTGAGCAGTTTACAAAGAGAAGAAATATTTGTAAAAACAATTAGAAGAAGTAATGGATGGGCTGTTTATGTTTGCAGGGTCACTGATCCTAATTACAGTCATCAACAAAAACATCCTGTTTTGAAATTGGCAGCACTCTATTTTTTTGACATTTCTAATTTATTTTTTTTTAAGGAACTGTAAATACACCAGAAATGTTAGGTTCTCAAATAACTATTGCCAAAAGACATTTGAGGAAGTTCCTGACACACAGGATTAGATTGCTTTCAAGAGAGATTTTCCCTCAGAGGATATGCTAGTATGAATTGAAATGCTAATATACTTCATTGCCTGCAGCTAATTCTTCATGTCTTTGTGGTTTTTTTGTGTGTGTGTGGTTTTTTGTTTTTTTTTTTAATAGGCAGCCTGAGCTAAGGAGAGCTTTTCTGTAGCATTTACAAAGCAAGCAAGCAGTGCAATATGTGTTTGGTTTGTTATTATAAAATTCAAGAAGTCCTTTTCAGTTCATTTCTTGCTTTTCTTTAGCATTTTCTTTTGGTTCAGCTCTTCTGATTGAACCATTTTGAAGAGAAGAACAGAAAAAGCAGCTTTTTTTTTCCTGCTTCTTAGTCATTCGGTAATTGTAGTAGCTTGTGCATTAGCAAACCATCTGGGGAGAGAGAGATGGCTTTCCTTTGACGTATGCCTTACATTGATAGTTTTGCTTTTAGAAGAATCAGTCACAAAGAAAATGATTAATGACCTGATCCAGAAAAAGCATGTGAATGTTGTGGTATAGCAGACCTTGCTGTGAACAGCTGATTGTTTATCATGGACTGGTACAGAGTGTTTATGAGACCTGCTGTGAATTACAGGAGTGTAGCTATGAATTCTGAGTCTATAGCCTTCAGGATGAAAACTACCTGACATGAAAGCACCCAGCTGGAGGGCATTCCAGAAGCAGTGCACACGATGTGGGATTGAGGTTTTCTGCACAGCACAGAGTTTAGTTTAGTGTGTTGGCATGTTGTGAACACCACACATGCCTCTTAGACTGTGATCATTCAGGCTGCTCCCCTGTGCAAAGTTATGGCATTAGTGAAGTCATGAGCTGACTTTGCCCAGCAAGTGTACAGCCATTACATACTTCGCAGTCTGACAGAGTCATAGAATTGTTTGAATTGGAAGGGACCCTGAAAGGCCATGTAGTCCAACTCTCCTGCAATTAACAGGGACATCTACAGCTAGATGAGGTTACTCAGAGCCCTGTCCAACCTGGTCTTGAGTATCTCCAAGGACAGGGCTTTAACCACCTCTCTGGGCAACTGGTTCCAGTGCTTTACTGCCTTTAATGAAGAAAAAAAATATAAAATTGTATCCAATCTAAATCTCCCTTCTTTAGTTTGAAATCATTTCCCCTTGTCCTATCAAAACAGGCCTTCCTAAAGAGTCTCTCCCCTTTTTTCTAATAGCCCCACTTTTAGGTACTGAAGGGCCTCTTTAAGGTCTCCCCAAAGCCTTTTCTTCTCCACGCTGAACAGCCTGACCTCATAATGGAGGTGTTCCATCCCTTGGATCATTTTTGTGGCCCCTCCTCTGATGTGCTCTAACAGGTCCATATCTCTCCTGTTCTGTTGGATTCTGCATCTGGACACAGTACTCCAGATGAGGCACAGAGTAGCGGGGTGGGGTTGCCTCCCTTGACCTGCTGGCTACACTTCTTTTGATTCAGCCTAGGATATGGTTGGCTTTCTGAGCTGTGCGGGCACATTGCTGGCTCACATGAGACTTGCCATCCTCTAGTACCCCAAATTCCTTTTTGGCAGGACTGCACTCAATCTTTTCATCCCTCACCCTGTGTTGGTAATGAGGGTTGCCATGACCCAGGTGCAGGACCTTGCAGTTGGCTTTGTTGAATCTCATGAGGTTCTCCAGGACCACTGCTTGGGCCTGTCTAGGTCTATCTGGATGGCATCCTGTGCCTCAGGCATGTCAGCTACACCACACAGCTTGGTGTCGTCCACAAACTTGCTGAGAGTGTATTTGATCCCACTGTTGAGTCATTGGTGAAGTTGTTAATTAAAAGCACTGATTTCAGCACTGATCCCTATGGGGCACCACTCATCACTGATGTCCATCCTGATAATCTTGCAATCAGCTCCTCATATACTGAAAAGTCTACCCATCAAAACCATATATTAAACCATGATTTAGAGAGAAGGATATTGTGGAGAACCATGTCAAAGGCACCTTACTGAAGTCCAGATAGATTATATTAGTAGCTCCTCCTTTGTCCACTAATGCAGGTATGCCATCATAAAGGCCACTAGGTTAGTCAGACAGGACCTGCTCTTTGTGAAGCCATGCTGGTTGTTTTGCATCACCTCCCAGTCCTCCTTGCTTGACTCAGCATAGCTTCCAGGAGGATCTTTCCCAGCACAGAGTGAAGCTGACAGGTCAGTAGTTCCCTGGGTCATCCTTTCTGCCTTTCTCAAAAACAGTTGTGATAGTGCCTTTTTTCCAGTTACTAGGGACTTCACCTGACCACTATGTCTTTTCAGATAAAACTGAGAGTGGCTTGGCAGCTACGTTAGCTAATTCCCTCAGGAGTCTTGGATGCATTTGTTGGGATCCATAGACTTATGGACGTTCAAGTTCCTCAGATGGCTGTGAGCATGATCTTTGCTTACAGTGGGAGAGTCATTGCTCCCCCAGTTCCCACCTTTTGACCCGTCTGCTTGAGAGGTGTGTGAAGAGCAATTGCGAGTAAAGGCTGAGGCAAAAATGTTGGGTACCTCAGCCTTCTCCTTGTCCATTGCTAAGCAGTCTGCCCTTATTGCTCACTATAGTTGGAGTAAGCATTCTTGGATTTTCCTTTTCTGGTTGACATACCTGTAGAAGCCTTTCTTGTTCTTCTTTGCACCCCTTGCCAAGCCCAGTTCCAGTTGGGCTGTGGCTGCCTAACTCTGTCCCTACACAACCTAGCAGCATATATCCCTATACTCCTCCCAGGATACCTGTCCCTACTTCACATTTGGGAAATACCCAAAGAAATCTGTTCTACTTACATCTTCTTACTTGGTTTGTCTCTGCTTGGAGGGCAGCCTGAGAGGCTGTTTGTCTGAAGATGCCAGTAAGCTCCAATTTATGACAAGGACATCAAAGTAAAAACTGTGTCATTCACATTTTCATTCTTCCAGTGAATACAATGAAATGTTCCCATAATTAAATTAGTAAGCTAATTCAAAACAGTTTCCAGAATATTTTCCAAAGTACTTTTTTTTTTCTTTTCTTCTTCAGTTAGAAATTTAAAACATGTTCTTCATTCCATTCTTAGTAATTTTAAAAATCCTTCCGCCTAACCTCAAAGCTGCTCTGTTACCACTTCAAGGCGGGAATTCCAAGCAACATCATTTGAAGTTAATGCCTACTTTTCGCCTTGCTTTTATTCCTTAAGATCTGGGATTTGATCCAAGACCCTCCAAGTAAATGAGAACTTTTCCACTGACGTCAGGGACTTTGGATTGGGCTGTTGAAGAGGGGACCGACAAGACCTCCTGCAGTTCTTGCCACTACAGTCTTGAAAAGAAACCATGCAGTTTGGGCAATTTTAGGGGCTTGTGTGCACGGACATCAAAGAACTTCACAGGCTTATTTCCCCACTGTGGCTTGGATGAGAGCGCAACTGCTGTAGTTTAGTTGGTGCTGGAACCCCTTCAACAGAAGTGGAAACTGTTATGATGACAAGAAACACAAGCGGGTCTTTTGCTGTTAGAGTGGATTTGAGAAAGCATTAAAAGAACTTGATCTTTCTAAAACACTGCAGTTCTAGTCCTGTGAGGAGTGTAAATAGCCCAGAGGTGAAAGAATCATCTAATACTATAATAAGATGAGATTGAAAAAGGAAACATGCAGCCAGAGTACTTGGGGAACCTTTGTGAAGGAAAGAAATCTTTTAAGTGCTGGAATAATCTCCAAAGGCTGTAGAGAGTCCTGTTTCCTGGATGCAAATCTAGTCTGAAAATTTAGTGGTATATCTTTTGAGAATAGTATTTTATCAGCTGTGGGAGAGGATAAAGATGTAAAAACTTGATCTTTCTCATCTTTTTTTTCTTCCCACTAATCTTTTGCTTCATATGGTCACTATAGTATACTGCTGATAAATAGTGAAGAAAAGCCACTCAATGCATAAAATGTTGTTTATTATTTTAGTAGAGTACAACTTTGTGAAAACTGGCTCTTTCATATTCTCTCACTGACTGCTAGGGTGGGGGGTGGTAAGATACTGCTGTTTCCTTTGGATAGCTGATAGTTGAATGGGGAACTCCCTTTAGATGGGATCCCTGGATAACTGAAGGCAGAAGGGATTTTGGGAGGCCTGTAATTCAACTGCCAGCTCAAAGAAGGACCAGCTCTGAAGTCAGGCTATTCAAAGCTTTATGCAGTCTGGTCTCGGAAAGCACCAAGTTTTCTCCAAAATAGAGGCTGCACAGCTTGTCTATGCAAGCTATGGTCATGCTTGGCTATTCTAGTCATGGAAGAAGTTTCTCCTTATATACAATCTGGAATCCCCCAATTTCAGTGTGTCTGCTGTCTCTTGTGCTCCTTCC